TAAAAGATAGAATAATGGATTAGTTAAATAAATTATCAATATCAAAGGAAATTAAAATGAATGATGCAAAATAAAATTGTTGATTTCTTACTTCCTAAATAAAAGATAGAAAATAATGAATTAGTTAAATAAATTATCAATATCAAAGGAAATTAAAATGATGCAAAATAAAATCGTTGATTTCTTACCAACTAAATTAAAGATAGAATAATGAATTGGTTAAATAAATTGATATCAATTTAAATTCAAATGAAAATGCAAAATAAAATGACGAATTCTCACATTTATAATCGGCACTAATCAAAAAGTTGATAATTAGTAGGTATTAAATAAAATAATAATCTTAGTTATAATTTTTACCGTCTTTTTTCACATTCATAGGTCAATTTAGCCTCCATTGAATTATTATTATAAATAGAATTAGAACAAAGGTGAAAAATTGTGACTTTAGACACCATCTTTAAAATTAATTACCTCATGCAATAATTCTTTTATTGTCTTAGCTGATTTTAATGCAATCTTTTTCTCATTCCAATCAGCTTTGTACACTTCACCAAAACCCCCCTCGGCAATTTTCTCAATATTAATAAACTCTACGAAAGGTATATTCTTAATTCCAGGTGTCGATCGAATAAACTTTTCGATTTCATTATTTGAATCTATGTCTGTATTAATGTCTGCCATATATTTATGTTCAAAGACGACGAACGATACTTCTTATATAAGTCTACGTAATGTTTGAGATCACACTCTGACAATCTCTGTGTAAGGGATTTTATTTATTCATGATAATATATATTCGGGTATGCGAATAAGGGTGTGATTGGTTGACGAAATAATTTAGCATCTGATTCCTTTCCTTTTAATTCCTTATCGTTATTATCATTTCTCTTTAATTTACAAGTGTTAGTGATTGAGTTTATAAATGCACGAAGCTCAATACTTAGAGTATTAGGGTTAGAAAGCATAAACTACGTGTGCGCATTTCGAGAAATCACATGATGTATATTAAAGATATTATTTATCAAGTTCGTTTCATTGTAATGACAAGATTTTATTCAGATAAAAAAGTTGAATGTCTTTCCCTCATCTATTGTTATTTCACTCATCGACTAGTTGATTTCTAAGAAAAGTTCTTACTGATAGAGGCCGATGAAATCCAAATGACCAACCAATTCTCCATCATCTTGACAAAATTCAGTTAAAACATACCGTATAGCACTGCTTACAGTACCCTGGGTCTTAATCAAGAATGCCTTTCTTTAAAATTGAATAGTACCCCGGGTACTCTATACGGAACCGGGTACTTTATTCGGATAGTATTATATTATAGATATTGTATAATAGAGGGGTACTAATCAAGAATTTGCATTAAACCTGAATAGTACCCGGGTCTTAGTAATGGAGGGTATTATATTTTGGGGATACTGTAAGCAGTGCTATACGGTAATTATCAATCTAGTAATGTTGGGGATGAGTCAGTGATGAATAAGATATGTTTGTGATTGTATAAATAGTAAAGGAATACATACTTTGTTCTTTAATTCTGATATAATTTTATTAACTGTTTCTTTTCATCCAATCATCCAACTATCATATTATACGTATCTGTTAGAAAATATATTTCAATTATCAAGAATAAGAGTTGTGAATATGAGTCTGCCAGGGCGACCCCTAAAAGTTCGGGCCACGTGATATTGCTGATCGACACCGGCGTTTCCGATCTGCCAATTCCGATCCATGGGATATTTATGTGCTACAAGTATATTAAATATACTTGATTGGCACTTGTCTCAGTTTGTGAGATGAATGAAGAATATAATGAGAGTTTGTTCAAGTAATTCTTCACAAGTTTTATCAATCGCATCAGAGCTTACATTATCTTGTATTAGTGTCGCATCATTTAGTGGAAAGTATTGGTGGAGAGATTCTTTCAGTATTTCTTCAGTATCTTCTATATTAAAAATAAATTTTTTGAATTTAACATTACTATTCTTTTTATAGGCAACAGTAATTAATTATGATTTTGATAAATTATTGAAGAATAATTAAATAGAATTTTAGATAAGTACAATTAACAAATATACATATTTTTAATTGTACTTTCCATATTAATATCATTTTTATTTATTCTCATTATCTTCTATAGCTATAATATCTACATCATTGGTTAATATACTCTTGGCAAAATATGATTTTTCTCCATGATCATTAAACTCTTCTGGATATGATAAAAATATTAAGTATGGCTTTCTATTTACTGGTATTCAAGTCAGCTATTGATGTTTTTGTCATTCTGTTACCTGGATTTCCTCTTTCATTGATATTATTCTACTTCATCTCATCATTACGTGAATATGATGCCAGTTATTGGCTGACTTTTCAATATAAATTTGCTTGATTATCTGTTCAAATGATGACTAATTTAATTTGATATAAGTCTGGATCTCTTCTTCTGGATTTTTATTAACAGTAATATTATTGGGCATATTATTGATAGTGACTTCTATATTATCGGAATCAGTAACTTGGACTTTTTCAATCTCAGTAGGTATAACAGATAAGATGTTAGTTATAGTTTCTTCACTTTCAGGATTTCTTAAAACAAGAAATAGTAGAGTGATGCGATATTTAAAATTACAGTACAGCAGCCTTCATCATTTGCTATTGGGTATAATATTAACCTGCTAAACTAAATGCTTATATAAAAGGAAGTGATTTCCAAGAAAGGCAGGATAGCTGCAGATTCAGCGAGCAATATTAGTAAAATATGAACTATCTAGATTTGTTACTTTTATACTAGTGTTTCACTTTCTTTTACCCTTGACATGCTCATTAGTTCGTTAATTATTACTTGCAAATATAGTAATTTATGCTTTCTTGAAATCATCTCACCATCACGGTATCATCACATCAGTTAGAATTTGGGATAGTTGCTCTTTTTGTGCTGGTATTATCTCATTGATGAGTATCTAAAGCAGGAAATTGAGTCTTGGATAATTGAAATGGTGTAGATAACACCTTTTAATAACACTCCAGTGGGCTTTAATCATTATTATTATTTTTCCAAAAGATATTATAGATCTAACTGATCATGCCCATAGGTGTTACCACTCTAATAAATAACTCACACAGCGATCTCCCCATTTTCTCTGCATAACATGAAACATGATTGGCTGGTGATCTAATTTTTCAAATTTTCTATAAATAGTAATAAATTTAAATGCCAGTATCCCAAAATATCAACACTGATATGCATCAATTTATTTATCACGTTATATAAATGATTATTATTTCAGTTGAGCACCTAAGTTGATATATCAAATACATTGTCAATGAATTGAATTATTAAACAAAAAGGTAAGGAAATCAAAATGGTTACTAATTATTTTATCAATCAATAGCTGTAAATAATGAAACTGAATATAAATAATCTATTTGTACTGACGATGACATTACATCACAGACTCTACTTCTATATACAAGATATTTAATCTATCAGAAATATGGTATGGGGTGTTGAATCCTTCTATGTACGTTCTCAAATACATTTATTCTCTCTCTTTTTTATATCAACTATCATATTATGAGACTTTTTTGATGCATCCATTAAAACTTTTACATGTCGCAAGTTTCTGATATTAAATTCACTACACATATGTGTCAAGTATTCCTTCAGTTCAGATATTTCTTTTTCAAATTTCTCATTGCTAATTGGTACTGATTTTTCTAACTCTAGATTATTTCTTTGTAAACTTCTGTCAGCAGCTTGGATGATCGCAGAACTCTGTTCATTGTCAGACACTGATAACATTTGTGATTCAACATTTTCAAGAGATTTCAATATCAAAAAGGAATATTCATAATTACGTTTAAACTCCTCATATATTAAATGGTTAGCTGTGCCACCCACTGCTTTAACCAAATGTTTGCATATAAGGAATCGATTCTGAAGAAATGAAGAATAACTGCAAATCCATCTGTTAGAGTTAACATAATACTAGTCCTGAACATATTTATTAATGCTTTTCTCAACATATCGCTTCCACTTCTTTTTAAAGTCTTCCTACCAGTGTGGATATATTTTGCCACTCGAGAGCTGATAGAATCTGAGACTTTGTGCAGGAAGCAATTTTTTACACAAGATATAGATAACGTAATCTAATGACGGATAATGGAATCTATACAGATAATCATGCTTAAGTACCTTCTAGTGTGATTTAATTAATATATTAGTTTTTCTGAAAGATATTTTTGGATGACAGCTTCTCGCTCACAGCTCTCATCGACTCTTTGTGTACTATGAAAAGTATAGGTAATGCCATAATTGTGGATTACTATAATTTATACAGAATTCATAAACTTCTTTGACTAATATATTCCAAATTTCATCTGAACTTAAAAATATTATTTCATTATTATCAATAGGAATTAAGGAATGTAAGTGAAAATGTCTTTCAATGAGATTCAAGACATCTTTCTGTGTCTTAATAGCACATATTATTCCTGTCATTTCAGTAGTGGGAAGAAACATTGAATCAATGAATGGAAAATTTGCAAGATCAATTGCTGTGAAAGAGCTATATTTCTTTTATCTCTTATTGGATCTGATTTTGGTAAGTATAGCCTTTTTAATATGCCATAAACAAAGCTGAACGTGACTCTCTTTCCATATAGATTTGGCAATATTAATTTTAGAAAAGTCCTTATTAGTAAAGATGAAGTCCGGATACAATCTCAGATTTTGAAAATGAGTAAAAAATTCTGTTAATATAGTTATTTTAGTTAAATCTTCATCTTGATGTATATCAAGCATTAGATAACCAAGAGCAAAACCAGAACTATTGAATTGACCAACTATTGCAAATAATTCAAAATATCCCTTTGCAGTTTTATATGTTGCATTTATGTGGATTTCTTTAACGTCTTTTGCATTGACTAATATTGGTATTGAGAAGGCTATAGCAGTTGAGGTTTCTGTATTAATTAACATGAGAAGATGACATTTCTAAACTCGATATTCTTCTAACAGAAGAATTGCTGATTGAATTGGGTCTTGATATCTCTAATATTTCGATTGCACAGAATTACTCTACCAGTAGTAGATTTATTTTATTATCACATCTTTTATATCAAAATAAGATGCTAAGTATGTGCGTAGTTGCAAAGGATCTAGATGATAGTTATTCTGTATTTCACTGATTATTTCATCTGATACACCAGTAAATAGATCAGGTCTTTCATGATATAATGCATGTTTCATTTATACATGAGTATAGGCATTAATCATGTTAATTCAAATTATCAATAGTCCTTTACACTCATATCACTTGATTTGTTTTCTGTTTGTATCCTTAAAACTATTAAGAATATCTGACTGACTGCAGTGATAATAAACTGTGGTAATATTCATTAGATCGTGAACAGAAAAATTTGTTTTCCAATTGCTATTTAAATATGTATTAATATTTGTTCTTATAAATAATATCAAAATAATTTTGCATAACTTACTTCCACTTGTATCCATCTCCTTCTGCAAATTCATCTTGAATTTTTTCAGAAATTTGAGTGATTGAGCTCTCTTCTTCCTTGATATCAAAAGTAATATCTGATTCAAATTCTGATAAATGATTTATATCTATTAATTCACTGACTAGCTAGGATAATTTATTTATATGGACTTCTCACATATCTTTGATATTATCTGTTGGATTGTTGATGACAGATGTTATATTCATTTGTATAGTTTGATATTCAGATGAATTTTCTCCTAATTGAGTCTGAGAAATTTTTCTAATAACATATTTTTTTTTTCGTTTAGATAAATATTGGATACATATTTTTGATAAAGTTTTGTTAAATTTTTTAAACTTGCTTTCTGGCTGAGTTTTTTTACAACTAGTATAGCGAAATATATTTGGATAAAATATAATAGTATGGGATGACTCTCCTATTTATCATTATCCAAGATTACATATTGTGCAATAATAATTGTGAATATTCTGATCATCAAGTTTGTTTGTGAATAATACAGGTATAGTCTATATTTTTAAATTTGTTTAATAAGAACTGAAATTTCTTTATTCTATAATCGTTATAATAGAGAAGATAATTATGATTACATACAAAAGACATTATAAAGACATTGTATATTTTACTTGGAAGATAAATATAAAATTATAGAATATGTGAATTTAATTATTAAGAGTAGATAATGAACCAGTGAACAAGATTCAAATTATAAAATTTTACTTTAGTATACGTGAATTGAAATGTAGGCAATATTATCCATAAAATATTGACAATGTAAAAGATTATATGCAAAGTAAATAAGAATATGATGTCATATTTTCATTAATTATTTAGTATTTAATTTTAATTATTCTATTTTTTATTAATTTAACATTATTGTCATGAAGAAGAGATAAGGACTGCAACATCAAATGTCAATATCTTATTATACGAAATGCACTGGTCATAATGTAAATTGTTCTGTTTGTCTTTTAGTAAATTGTACTATGTAAGACTCACATCAAATAAATAATTTTACAACAAATAGCCAATATTTTCAATTATTAAAATACTCCTGATCGATACTCTAGCGTTCTTTAAAGGTGAGTAACAATTATAAATTATTATGATTTTATGACTCTGAATAATGATGATAATAAAGAATATTAAATATGGAGATGATCATCTGTAATATGTTATGAAGATATAACGGGATACAGGGGCTTTCAAATTTATTACTGTTTACAGAAAATTTAAAAAATTAGATCATCAGCCAATCATATTTCATGTTGTGCAGAGAAAATAGGGAGGTTGCTGTGTGAGTTCTAATGAATACCAGTTGATCCAGAGATAGGTCCATAGTAATCACAAGAAATTTTCCATACAGAATTGATACATTTCTCTTACAGCACTTCATCTGATATCTGTTGATATCATAGAGTTTTCTTGAATATTGATGAGTATTAATAGGTACATATCGAAATATTTCTGCATTAGTTTCAAAATTAACTCTCGATATGCTGGTAGACAGATAATATACATTCTTGAATCACGATCTTCTTGTATTGGGTAAAAGATGAGATCAATAAAGTCAAACTTGTTAATTGCTTTACTGATATTGTAAATTATGATATATAGTTGTGTTTTATATTATATTTCATGTTATATTTCATGATCTGTATTGTTTAATGACTTGGCTTTCTCTTTAAGCTTAAGTTTTAGGGTCTGATTCATGTGCCAAGCACATAATTGAACTGCCAAAGATTCCACACCTTAATTGCCACATTAATCTCTGCGAAATCTTTATCAGTAAATATAAATCTTGGATTAATATTACATAGCTTCAAGGTTTCTAGGAAGTTCTCCAAGACTTTACAATATCTGCTTATACTAGTACTTGTATCTGCCTTAGTTATATCAAGTATAAGATAGACAATTGGGAAGCCAGTACCTTTAACTTCTACTATGATACCATAAAGTTTGTAGTATTCATATGCAATTTTATAAGTGATATCTAAGTATATCTCAGTAATATTAATACTATAATTCTTGATTTCATTTAGTAATGAGATAGTAAAATTGATAGCTGTGATCTCTGAATCTTTTATATCAAGACACAAATGAAAACCATGACTATTGTATTCATTAAGCAACTTGCAAGCAGATTCAACATGGTTATCAAAATATTGGAATAACTTCTGGTCTGCTATAGACTTCCAGAAGTAAATACACTTGGAAGAGTATTTTGAGATATTGAATCCTTGATATTGTAGGTGATTTTTTAAGTTCACTACAGTAAGGTGCGAATGTGTATTGATCTCTTCCCATAGTTCATTAGATATCTTAATGCAAAGGTCTGAACGTGGATGAAGAAATTCATGATATATATCCACTGTTATAATACTAAGTATCATATTGATATGTATAACAACTTTCTCTTTATAATCATATCACATTCATTATTTATGATTAGAATCTTTATATATTTCACCTTGTGTATCTCTTGATTAGCAATACAAATAAGAAAAATAATCAACTGCATTTCCAAATTTTTTGGATACATTTAAATTATGAAAACTTCAATAATATATTTCAGTTAGTAAGTAATAATCTAATAAAAATTTATTTCACAAGATGAAATTACTTACTTTCATAAAAAATCATCATCATCTTCAACTTCTGCAATTATAAGATTGACCATCTCCTTTGCTATCTTGTTTTGAGTGATGGCAATATCTAATTGTACCAGTAAGTAAATCTTATAAGCTACGTTAGCTATTCTATCAATATATGCGCCAGCTGTTAGATCTTGGATTTCATATTCAATGAAGTTGTCCACATCAAGATAGTTAATTTTGATTTGTGTGATATCATTGACATATTCTTGTGATTCTTCTGACATATTTGCTATGATTCTAGTTAGTGACATGTGCTCTTTATTTCTTCAATTCTGATTCTTCTTACATCTTCTACATGTCTTGTGATATATACTATTCCAAGTAAATTAATCATCAGGATGATTGCATTTGCATTTAGTACAAAATATCATTTTTTAAGAATTTATTTGTATGTAATTAGAATTCAGATATTGAATAGTAGCATGTAAGGGATCTTTTATAATATATTTAATGTATTTATTTTGTAATTAGCATTAGAATTTAGATATTGAATAGCAAAGAAGTAACACGCTTTAACGTGTTTAAAATTATGTGATCATAAAATTCAGGAATTTAAACTTTAAGTATTATCTAAATTGAATCTAATATAATATATTTATCTAGATTTTTTAGATTTCTTTTACTTGATAGTATACAGGAGAAATG